ATTTATTATTTACTGCAAAATATACAGAGAAAAACTTTTTTTATATCCGATAATAAAAATTTATTTAAGTCTACTGTTTAATTACTTTTTCAATTACTTTGACTTTTTTTCGTATAAATTGTTTTATTATTTATTTTTATAACAAAATTTTTTTTTTACACAATGCACTAAATTTTCAGCAAAAAATGTATATTTCAAATAAATGAACAAAGTACAAATGAGCAAAAAAAAAAAAAACATTAAATTGTACAGGCAAGTAGTTTTTGTTTTGATTTTGTGTATATATACATGTAATGAGTCAACAGCTATTGAAAGTAAATACAAGAGCAAGTTATATATTAAAGTAAAATTTGAAACACGAGGGGCGTCTCTTAGTTATTTGAGGCACTTTGCAACGCAAATTTTAAAAGTCAGGACATTTGGCAGCTCTAAATTTAAAATATTGAAACATCTTTGAAGAACTCCATCTTACTCTGAGTTGAATTTACTGAAACTCGGATATTCAAGGACGTCAACAAAAAAACTTGACACGTTTTAAACTCAAAAAAAACAAAAAAAAAAAACGTAAACAATAACATAATTATATTATTTCCATGTTTTTCGAGCTATCATTAGATCACCAATGCTTCAACAAAAGCGCCAAAACAGAATATCCTCCTCCAATTTTAGTTCCAGTTATTGCCGCATGGCGCTCCATCACATTGATTGCAAAATTATTTTAATTAAAAATAATAGAGCTACAAATAGTTTTGAGCTTTGGGTTCATTTGATGAAGATCGACGTGATCACGCGACAATTTGTTTTAAAATTTTAGCCGATGCACAAGAGATCGAAATTTATTAAAATCATAAGAAGGACGTGATACAAAAATTGCTAAATTTTTTTTGTTTTGGAATCACGTTTTTTGCTAGTATTTTAAACTATCGTAGCACAGTCTCGTAATAAATCATAACCAATCTTGTTTAAAAGAAATTAAAGTATACAACCGGCTCAGATGTTGACGTTCTTTAACGACTGAATAATAAGAATTTGAAGAGAAGAAAATTAATTAATGAACTAATTTTGTAATTACAAGTACCTCAAATTTGGTTCCTTGCGAAGATGAAGATAAAAAATACTTCTTACTAACGTATCTCAAGTACATTTAATGACTATTAAAAAAAAAAGGTCCATTTCTCTCAGTAATGTGTTTAATTAATCATGTCTCAGAATTCTGTAGTCCAATTTCAGTGACTCACGACTTGAAATATTTTTACATCTCTGTTTGAAGCATTTAATATATAATCCAAAAGTTATCTAAAACATTTTCATTTTTAAAAATTTTTTCTCTCTNTTCAATATTATAAATTATTTTATCTCGTTCTTAAATAAAAAAAATTTAATTAATAAACGTTTTGATTTTAAATTGCTTGCACGTGGAACGCGTTTACTTCTAATGGTAATAAAATTTGTAGATATGAAACAATTGCTAGTTAATGATTATTGATTTCATAATTTTGAATTTGATTTATACAAGTTACCATAAGATCATGATGTGAACAAAAAAACTGAATAAATAAATCTTATACGAAAACAAAAATATTGATATTGATAAAAAATTTGAATTTAAATTTATCAAATAATTTAAGTATACTCTTCTTACATAAAACCTTTACAGGTACCTATATGTACAACAATGAATTTGAGTAATTCGTCCTTTAAGTTCATAGAATTACATTTGTCAGATAGTAACAAATAAGTTACAGCATTATCAACTTTTAAACTTTTTATAAGTTTATGTTCACAAAAATTTTTTAAGTTATCTATTGCATACTTATCGGCTACAACAAATATAGTTGAAATTTCGCAACCATCTTCATCAAAATCACCTGTGTAGATAAATTGTATTTTCCGAAAAGCTAAAAAAATTATTATTATTTTAATTGCTATCTTTTATAATTATGGTCGACATGTCGATAAAACATTGACAAATGGATGATCCAATGAGTTCACTAAAATAATTGCAACATTTTTCTTCATTTTATGCGATACAATATCCAAATCACTAAACGTGTGAATCGTAACGAAATTTTCGTGATAAATTTCGGGGTTCGAAGTTACGCAATTGTGAGTTTCCTTAAAGATGACAATCGTAATAGTAAATGTTAATAAAAATTTTCTAAAGTATCGTTTTCGACTTTGTTTTTTTATCATACAAATAATTTGTATTTTTGTAAAATAATAATAAAATGCAATACACAAAAAAACCTGCTGTTTGCCCAATCTTTTAATTAATCCTTTTCGTCATTGTCAGGGAAACAAAAACACAACGACAAAATAGCCCTTTAAAAAAAAAAAAAAATTTAATCAGATTTTAATAAAACAATGGCTACGCATCACTGTTCTGACGAGACTGACAACTTGAATTTTCGTTCGCTAATTTTTATTTTTTATTTTTATTGCTTCAATTAAAAAAAAAAACGTTACTCAGCGGCTTTGTGTTTCAATTTTTTTCTGACACAAATGGGAATAACCAAAAACAGAAGAACATTTTTTTTCTAAAAATCAACCAATGCTGGAAGAAATACCCAAGAGGGAAACAAACTGTATCCGGATCCGTGTTTTCAAGATTTTTCCCGAGACAGAATAAAATTCTTTGATTAAGGAATTCTCAGTCCGCAGACTTTTCTTGAGAAAAAAAAAAAAAAAAAAAAAATTAATTTTCTTTAAAGGAATTACGGGGTTGTCAATTTACATACAGGAAGTAAAGAAAATTTGTTAGTGCAAAGAGCGATGAAGCGAAGGCAAAGAAAGCCGGTGCTGAATATCAACGGCGATAGCGTCGCCGACTCGCACAGGCGAAGATGGCCCAACGAGCGTGAGTACAAATATTTTTTTTTTTTTTTTCAGACCAGCGCTCTCTCTTATGTCACCTTTATTGGTGTTGTTTTTTCTGTTATTTTTTTTTGGAGCAATGTCGATAAATCGGTGCAATTAATGCAAATTTGGTTGTGTGTTGGGTAACGCAGGGCAGACGCAAAATGGATTGCCGAGTAACAACCCGTTGACAAATCTCGTGGGACACTACAACTCGGACAGCGAAGCCGAGGAGGACAACAGACCGAGAGCACGTGTGTTGAACGATAAAGTCGACGATTTTTTCAAGGTGAAACTTTGGCTATTGATTGACTCTGTGCACTTGCATTGCTTGTATACTAAATCGATGGATTCCTTTTTCAGGAGATACAGTCCATATCTCACGACGGTTTGAAGAACAGAAACATGTCTCATCCTGGCTCTTGTGAGTGTACTGAATGTTTGCTTCATATGTCGGTTTTATAGATACATTTTTTTAAATTTAATTTTGCTCCAGACTGGCAAGAGTGTTTCGACGAGCAGACTGGGTATCCGTACTATTGGCATACAGAGACCAACCAGGTCACCTGGGAAATACCGGCGGAGCTGAAAGCACTACACGAAAAGAACGAGAAGGAAACTCCTGCTTCACCTCATGCTTCTCACATTCCGCAGTGGCCTAATGCTCCACCGAGTAAATGCAAGTATCCACTCGTTGAGTCTGTATGGATTATTTTTGGTAGGTTATGTTGGTTGCTCATGACAGTATTTGTTTGGTGCTCGTTACAGATCCGCAATCTTCGCAGAGCAATATTCCAGAGGGCATGATACCTAAGGACGTGGTAGTTAGAAACAGAAATAGGCAAGCTGGCATTGTCAACAAGCCGGCCAAATCGCCCAAAACAGACTGTTTTAAAGTACCTTTCAGCAAAGATGACTCTTTTGATGACGGGTACTAAAATATAAATCGTTTTTTTTCGGATGATTACCGTCAAATTTACATTCCTTTAACAAGTTGCCTTTGTCGTTTCAGTAAAATCGAAATGATAACGTCATTTGGTAATGACGAAAGCGAATCCGAAGAAGAGAGCGAGCAAGAAGAGCCACAGAAGCAAAAATCTTGTCTTAAAAAATCGTTAACAAAACCTGGAAAATCATCGTCACATAGTTCAGAGTCGAAAGAACCCAGGGCACTGATGGGACCTGCACCGCCTCCAGTAGCTCCATTAAATTACGGACCGCAGAATAAAGAAAAATTGAGTGATCGATTATCTCAGGTAAGACATGGTCGACCAACAACGATATTGAATTTTAAGTTTTCAAGCGACAGTAATAGTGACACCAGAATTTTTTGCAGAATGTTCCGCGAACCAAAACACAAAAGAAAGCCGACATCAAAGACGATGACGATATACTCCAGAGGCTAAAGAGCCAAGCAAAGCTCTTGCAAACCTGTGAAAACGACGAAAAGTCAAACTCGTCGAGGGAAGATCGTAGTCACACGCCACCAAAACCGCCCACGTCAGATTTAACCGACAAATCTAAAAAAAGGATAAAACTGTCTCTTGTACCAGGTTACGAAGATGACTCCGAGGGCGAAGACGAATCCAGTAGCAGTCGTAAATCAGCTAAGCCTCTGTTTCCAATATCTGAACAGTTGCCGCCAACGGATAGTCAGAGTGACGGCATTGCCAAAAAGATCGATACCAATGTTGGTTCACTCAGGGTATATGACTACAGGAGTACAGATTCGACGCAGTCCGAGCCCAAGATTGAGAACGCCAGTACGGATAGTCAAAGTAATGTCGAGGAAAAACCAGAGGAGGGTCTAGAGTCGAAAGCTAACAAGTTTTTAGATAGCATTGATGTCCCATCTAAGGCTTTTCAGAGAAAAAAACGGATCGCTTTTGACGGTTTGTACTCGAACATGCGAATGTTTTAAAAAATAACTTGTGATGTATTTTAAACGTTTCCTCTCTTGGTTTACAGTTGCTCCAACCAAAAGTAAAGAGCCAGAGGCCAAAGAAGAGCCTAGTTCCAGCGGTCCAGTACAAGTGAGCTCGACAGACCCCTCGGAACGTCGTGGTTTTGGGTTTTCAAAGGACGAAAACAGAAATTCGCCTGAAGCCGAGAGTGGCAAGACAGAGTCGGATGCAGTGCCGGCGAGCAAAAAGCCGGGCATAGCCTTTGTAAAAAGTACGGAAGAGAGCACCAGTGGTAACAATGTTAGCAATGGTAGTGACAATGGTGCTAACAGTACTAGTAAGCCGAAAGAAAGCAGTGAAGCAGAGAAAACCGAGGTGAAGCAGTTGACCGAACCCATAATGGAGAAGCTGAGGTTCCTGTCCGAAGGAAGTTCACCAGCATCCGCTGTTCAAATCATGGCTATTCAAATACAGGTTTGTACTGCCTTTACCTTTTTTATTCTTGATTAAAGTATAAAAAGTTATCAACAAATACTGAAAAAAAAATATATATGAATCTTGCAGACGTTGATGTGCGCCTGGGAAGCCGGTGTACTGCAGGAGGCGTATCTGCGCAACTGGCTAGTGGGAACGGCCAGCGAGCTCACGAGGCTTGAACAAACAGCCGCACCACCCGGATGGGAGTGTCAGTGGGATAGGTATGGTATCCTACAGCAATGCTTTATAAAACGATCAGCTCATTTACCTATGTACCACCGAGACTCGCTCCGTCTTGTCTCGGTTTTCACGTGATTATTGAATTACCTGTTCTCTCGACACGTTTGCCAAAACACACGTGGTTCTCGACAAAAATTTTTATCTAGTCATCTAGGTTTTTGTAATTAACTTGATTTTATTTCGTACCTTTTCGTTATTATCGCTCATCCTTTTTCTTATCTCCACTTCTTTATCAACTGTTTTTTCTTTTACTGCTTTTTTTTTGTCCTATGCGTTGTTTAATTGCGACTGGAAAAAATGTATGTAGTAATTTGTTGAATGTGAGTAACTGTGCATTGGTGACGTTTCAATTAATCCATCGGTAAGCTTATTTATTTAAATTGCGTATTGTCTTGTTCGTAACGCGTAAATAGTTGCAGAGTTTTATTTTTACTGTTATTGTTAGCTGTAATTTTGTTTTAAAAATATTCTAGTCAACTTAAAATGTATCAAGCACAGCGCATGCACGCTTATTCACGATTTTAAACAAATTATATCATCTGTTTTTTCCATTACGGAGAAATAAACCAGTTTCCAATGTGGAAACGAAAAATCAATTTTTTATCAATATCACCGCAAGTCAGAGAAATAGCTGGACTATTATTATCATCAAACGAAGCCAGGGATCTGTCAACTCGACTTTTAAAAACAAGTGTATGTACAGCAGCTTTTTTTCCTACTGTAAAATAATAATAGACAAAAAAGTGCGAGCGAGTGTGACTTTTGTTTGAAGTACTTACGAATGTACATTCAACACAGGATAAATAGAAATGAAGTCAGCTTAAAACCGCAAAGTAAGTGCGTTCCTTTTTTTCGAGATTTATAATTTATCTTGGCTGTTATAGGTATAACGACGCGCGGAAGCTGGTTTTTGTAGTGTTTAACAGTTAAGTGGGGAAAACAAGTGTTAAATATTTTTGTAGTACCACTTTTTTCGAATTAACAATAAGCTTTTATTACGTTATCATCTTAAATTTTAAGGAAATTCATAAGGAAGTCGTAATAATTAACTTCAAGAGACTTTTCTACTCCTGTATTAAAATCTCATTATGTTACGTGAGTACAAAATTAATCAAATTCATCAATATCATTGGATGATCTAAATATATTTTTATCCATGATTCCATTCAACTCTAATCCATTGCTGAACATTGTTAATTTTAAGACCAGAAATTACATAATTATGAGTTTCCCTAAAACCCTTACCTTGAAAACCAACTTTTTAAACAAAAGCTTCTAAATGACCCATGAACAAATAATTTTAATTATATTCTACCCATCAGGAAATTCTATACAATCAATTGAAAATAAGCATTTCATATAAAACTTTAAAATATCAGATTTTTAAATTTATTTTTAAGGATCATGTCACCTTCAGAAACAGCACAAAATGAGCCTACTGCTCAACGGTTGCATTATTAATTTTACATTTTTATTTTTCATGCTCTAAACACGAAAACAAAAGTACAACATCAAATTTTAAATTTAATTCATTAGTCGCTGATGTCATGAGTTCAAAATTGAAAGTTCTTTGTGATGTCATTAAAATCGGCTTTGGTAAGCGATGATTTTTATCGTTATCCCCGCAAAGTATCATCATTGTGCTATTTTAATGCATTACAAGTTGTCGCTTAACGTTGAAAAATACTGACCGGCAGAACGTAAAATTCGAATAGAAAAAACTTAATGATAATCATATTTAATTGATTTAAATAAATAATCAAACAATCGTAACACAAGCAGCGAATATTAAAATAGTTCGTTGTTTGTAATGCCGAATGATACTATCAGTTGAAAGAAACAAAGTCTCAATTTTCGGGATATTTTCACTTAAATATTCTGATTTTAAATTTAGTAGGGCATAAAACCTATAAATCAAGGCTATATCACTGTGTCCATGAGATACGTATTTTGCAGCTTTTATGAATTTTCCGCAACTCATTGCTTCTGACGATTTTCGGGCTATCGGTTCATCGGGCCATGAATTGGATTTGCACCAATGATTTGGATATTGAATTCTTTATCTGTTTCGTAACAGAAAGGTTTTGTGTGTGTGCACGAAATAACCCCTGTTATTCAGTTAGGGTGCCTTTTTTAATCTCCCACCCTTCTAATAACCGATAAAAATTAGTCATATACTAAAAAAAAACTCATACTTGGTCACCACATACTTGGTGTATTTGCATAAGTAAATATTGCACAATTAGAATAAAATTTTCCGTAATCTTCTTGGGGGCTTTGGGCATGTATCATGAATATATGCACAGGTGGACGTGTTTAAAGTTTATTCACAACCATGCAATGTTTCGTGGTAAACGCCACCTCGTTATGCAAAAAAAAATGCAAATTCGCAAACAAACCAAGTATACATATATAATCCACTCATTGAAGTAATCACTTTGTCACAAATTTCAACTCTCGAAGGATGAAACATTAATTAAATATTTTTTCTCGCGTAGTTGATTATTGCAGTCGCAAGTAAAGATAGGCATTGACTTTGATTTTTTGTTCCATCCACTTACCATAATTATATTATACTCTCACGGATGTTGATGAAAATGTCATTGCCTCTTGTAGGAAGTCCTGGATGTTTTCCTTGCCACTTTTGGTGACGAGAATAACGTGATCATGTCTCTGTAAAATGGAAAACGTTGTGAATCAAGTTAACCAACTAATTGTTTAAAAAATTAATATAATTATACGCTCTTGACGTGTACCGTGTCATTTTTAGTTAGATTACCGGTACACAATTCACATAAAATTATTCTCATGAGATCTTACTCCTCTTCCGGCGTGTCAAATTTTTAAAATCCCCCGGCAGAAATTTTCATCTAAAAAATTACAATTAAATATATTGAATCAAAAAAGCTTAAATTGAGTCAGGTAAAGTGAAATGGCGTTAAATACTGTGCTACCAATACCAAACACCCACAGGTAAAGGGCTACTAATATTTTATCTATTGTTCAAAATAATAAGTTATGAGGCTTGTCTGTGAATAATTAATTTCGTCTAATGCACTCGAATGGAGGGAGGAAAAATATAGGTGATTATCACTGTCAGGATACAGTACAATTTACGAAATTTTTATTTGAATGGCGTGTGACGCCTCTCATAATTAACAAAAAAAAATTCTTTTTATAAGAAATTAATAATAAATTATACTTTTTGAAAGTATATAAATTTTATTTAGNCAGCCAAATATTGTCACTTTTTGATGAATTTCAAACATTGATTCGTATAATTTCAGATGAAGACTGGAATAGGTAAGAAGCAAAAGGAAATGTCGAGTATGGTGGCAAAATGGCAGAGGGCCCAGAAGAACTATAAAGATTAATTGAGCTTTATTCCATGCCCACGATCGCGTTAATTTTTGTATATAAAAAGTAAAGAACTGTAATTTTACTATTTTGTAATTGCGCTTAACATTATGTATAATATATAATATTTAAACACTTTGGTGTATTAATTATTACTGTACAGCACAATTATTAAGTTATAATTAATGCTCTTGTAAAAATAAATAATAAATCTTATGTATAAAGTAACTGGATCTCATTTATTTCGTGCCTCCAAATAAAGATTACGCTCGACTTCAAGTATGATTTCGCTTCATGCAAATTAAGTAAACTTATGTTACAATTCATGAAATAAAGTTTTGCAGTTGATGTTTGCATCAAGTAAAACAATGTCTAGTAAATTAATCAACTTTATTACACAAATAGATAAAAGGAGATGTGCAAATGAATCAAGATTGTTTGATTATATGTATATTTTTAATGTTTATTGAATTTAAAAAATATAAAATTAAGCTACAAGCGCGCTAGCGGTGGAACTTTCGTACTTCCATGTGGGTACTAGAACACCCTTGAGCTTGTAGTACCTGGCTAATCTGTGGATTCTCGATTCAACAAGAATGAGACGGAATTTACTGTCTTTGTCTTTGCGGTTACGCTCTAAATGTTTGCGAATGGCAACAGCCTTTTTGATCAGATGATACAAGTCTTCGGGAATATCAGGAGCAAGACCCATACTCTTGACGATCCTCAGAATCTTGTTGCCAGTACGGAAGCGCACCTGAGCAACTCCATGTGAATCACGAAGGATGACACCTGAAATTTTAATAAATAAGTTTAATCTCCAGACCAACTTTCAATTTCAAGGTGATTAATTAAATTTAACATTGTTGATGACTCCCTAATATTAATTTGGGCAAGTTGCTCCAAAATTACCTCAAAAGTCAACAAAGTTTATTCTTGCAAATTTTAAGGAAGAGAAGCAATCTAAATAAATTGCAACTCAGCTGGTAACTTGCTTAAAATTTAAGTTGTATTCAAAAACCTAAGAACTTACCGATTTTTGATGGAGACAATCCTTTCTTTGCAAGTTTGTAGATAAGCTCTTTGCACTCATCCGGAGAAAGCTTCAACCAAGTTGGCACACTCCTTCTGTAGGGAAGTGCTGACTGGGAGATACCCTTACTGAAAAAAGCAAAATAAAAGATAAAATCTTTGAACAAATTTTTACCTAAATGTAGCAAATAATCAGTGTAGTTTACATTCAGAATAATAAAGATTTAAATGTTTCTATTTGGTGTGACTACTTGAACTACATGATAAAAAAAAAAATTCAAATCAACAGTACCAACTCATCAAAATATAACCTTAAAAAGTCATCTCAACACGAACGAACTTTCCACAAATCGATAAACAGTATTTTCGTCAGAAACATAATTTACGATCGAGAATCTTATAAAAAAATGATATTGTTTTAAAAAGTAACGAAAACCACCACCGCCAATGCTGCAAAAGAAGCGTACACAATGCGATGCTAAACACATGGTCGGAAAGTCAAAATTCTAACCGCGAAAATACCGTCGATTTACGGACTCATAATTGAGATTGGAACCGTTGGAGTGTACGAAAAAAAAACGACAAATGCATTGATCGCGCAAAACTGTTGATTGAACGAAAAATTGGCGAAAACGACGTTATTTTACATACCCAGGTGCGTGCATGCGACCCATGGCTGCGGTTTTATTTAATCAAAAGAGCACAAGCCAACACTTCCCTCTCTCGCCCTGCGTCACTTTTTGGAACTCGAGAGATTCTAGAAAAAAAAGCGAGAGAATGAAGTTGGCCGCTCTTGTTCGTTCGCGTTCGAGATTCGACTTCGAGGTTTTGAAATTTTGGCGCGCTCTTGTGTTTTTAACGAAAATATAATTCTGTGCTTCAACGTGCCAATAACTTTTGCAAGAATATAAATCATCAACAGATCAGGATTGATTAGTTGAGTTATTGTTTATTAATATCACATCACGTGTTGGTTAAAAAACGATTATTAATCACTGAACTAAACTATTTACATTGGTAATGGTACGGATTTATTAAAAGTTTAGAAACAGTTTGTTTTAATTTTTTTTTTACATGAAATAAATTTTAGTAAATTTTTAATGTGCCTTTTACCAATTGCTATTCCAACTCATTTGTTTCTTATGCCACTTTTAATGCGATACTTTGATGTCAAAGGTATATTTTTTGCCTATAGTTTACGGATTTGAATTAATTGCAATATTATTTGCAAAAAAATCAAACTAAAATAGCGTTAATACATATTACAGTGAATTCGTGATCAGACCCCATGAGATTTCAACCAAAAGGCAATGTTCTAAGATCACTATCATGCGATTTTTCTTAATTATTTATTTAAAAAACCACATATACGTATTAAATGAGAGCAATTGTGGTTTTTTTTTCGTTTATTTCGATATTCGATCGAAACGACTTCACCCACACAAAGGTGGTGTGCTCTCGTTTGTGTAGCTCAATTTGACTAGCCAATCGGTGAGTAGGAATCTGAAGAAACGACCAATGGGAGCTTCGGAAGTTCGGAAAGAAACTTTTTTTTTTTTCAACATGGCTGGTTGCTCTCTCCCATCCAAGACGAAAATTACCACCGGGGAATCGGGGATTCACTCGAGTAAGCCATAATTATTCTTGAAGGAAGCTAAATTAACTGTGATTAAATATACTTTTACCCTCCTCCTACAACAACAGTATATAGTGGATCAAAAAAAAAATTTGTTTTCCAATAGACTGGACGAAATTCCGTGAATTACATGACGCGCTCTCGCCAAAAGCCATCAGCTGACCGTACAAGTATGTAGGAGTAACGAGAAGGAGGAGGACACGTAGTATTTTAGTATTATTCAGAAGAAAAAAAAATCGAAAGAAGAGAACAATGATATCCGTCACGTAGGAATTATAGCCGCTGGAGGTTATAAATTGAACATTGCATACAGCCTTTCCTCGCGCGTGTGTCTCCCTCACACGCGCTCTTTGTAATTTTGCATTTGGCTCGAGAGTCGAGGGTCGAGGGTCGACGCGCGGCTCAAGAATCAATCCAAGAACACATCGGCCAAAACTTCAAAAGGAGTTGTGCCCTTCGCAAGTATATATCGTGGTGTTACAAACTTACATGTATAACAGTGGTAAAAAAAAAAAAAAAAAAAAAAAAAAAAAAAAAAAAAACGCTACAACAAACGCGGTGTTGTGTGCAACGTCGATATTGTAGTCCTTCTGCTCAGAGTGAGGGAGCGCCCCCATATATCCATCAGCCATGTCGCCGACGTCGTCGACGAGGCGGCTACCTTAGGCTGGGTAAAGGTGCTCTACATAGGAAGCAGAGTCTAGCCTGGAAGAAGGAATCGGTGAGAGAGCGAATCAGGGAGCTGGTGTGATTTTTTCTCCCCGCACCCTAACTATATAACTGTTACACTACAACAGTAGTAACAGTACTCCGAATACATGTATACCGTGTATACACATATAGGTAGCAACAGTGTGTGTGTGTGTGTGTGTGTGTATTGCCAGCTTACGCGTTTACATCAAGCAAAGCAGGAGTGTTTCGGGCTCTAGGTTCCTAACCGTCAGCGCATGTTCGTACACCCTTAGGTACATCATCTCCTCGTCCTGAAACTCCATACGTTGCAGGTTAAGGAATCCCTAGGTAGGTAAAAGGTGTCTCTCTTACGTGGGCGACGCTAATTCATCTTTTGCAATCCGTGGATTCTGTCCAAGAGCTAATACGATACTCTCATATATTTTCGGTTGACGAGCTGTATATGCACGATGATGGAAAAACGCGCGCCACGGGGACGCGCTAGCTCTCCTCGAGGCTCTCACCCCTTTGCTCTTTTTCCCTTCCTCTTGTGTATATAATGCATTAGCTCTTTGGCGTATACATGTGTGTTGTAGGTACTGTACCCATATATACGCGTGTTCCTTACACCCTTCTTGCCCCCACCCCCCTTGGCAGTGTATACGTGAGTGCATGCACAATTTGCATTTGGAGCAAGTGCGTTAACAATTGACTCCTATGTTTTTTTTTCCGGTTTTGTACTTCAACGTTACAAGCATTTTTGTTTTTTGAGCGAATTGTGACGGTGGAAGGTTCATCAGGTTTGGAGTGTCTGATAGCTGTTTCAGGAGTAAGAGTGGTGGGCTGGGTGAATTGTGCATGTATCTGTCTGCACGCTGGTTGAAAGTGAAGCTTCTTTTATAGGATTGGGAATTGTTTGGTTGTTCCCTGTACCTACTTTAGTTAATGGCGAGTGTTTTTTTTTTTGCAGTGAAAATAATTTAGTGATGAGTGAGTGGATCAGTGTTGTATTCATTGAGGTAGCAGATAGTAAAAGTCATAGGTTGGCGTGTCGGTTTGTGCTTCCATTTTATACGTTACCTTTATTTCCTAAGGGATGATTTGTTAAAATATTCATGCTAAAACTGTACAAATATTAAGTAGCAAGTCTGTACTACAGCGACAGCATCATTTTCATAGTTGTTTTGAATTTAGCTAACTGTAAATTATGTAATAAATGTATTAACCATAAACGTAGTCTTATACCCTTAAATAGATGTAAGTTTGTACCAAGAAAGACAACTTATGTTTCTGCTTTTTTACTTTGTACGAATTTCTACCACACCTATCTTAAATTATCCATTCACATGACATGCATCGCTTTTCCCTATGCAATATATAGTTTAACCAAAATTGCAATTTGTTTACATTATGCATTATGTATTTACAGATGTAGGAATAATGCTTCATTGGAAATAATCGATGTACTAGCCCATCATGTCAAGTGACGAAGAAATGATGAGGCCCTCCAAGAGGCCAAAGCCAAAAATTGTATCAGATGATAGTGACAGTAGTGATGATTCTTCCATCAACACAACCTGTGTAAAAAAGAAAGTGGGTGTAAGTAAACTCATCAGTTTATTTAAAAAAAATTAATTTCACCTGATACACCGTGATTCTAAAAAATGTTTATTTATTTCCAGAGAATCATTAGTGAAGAAGATTCCATAGATGAGGACAGTGATGTTCCATTACGCCCAGTACAGAGGAAACAGAAAAAGGTTTGACAATCCTCATATTTTTTCTTACAACAATACTAAAAGTATGTCAGTTACTAAAGTTACAAACGATGTATTTCAAATAAAAATTTCAGAAATTAGACATTGAAGATGAGTCTAGCTATGATAGCAGTTCATCCATGGATGTCGGTAAGCTATTTATGAAATTGCTTGCATTGCATACTGATGATATAGGAAAAGTACTCAGCTAGTATTTGAATAATCACAACAGATGGAGAAACCTCAGATGAGTGGCAGTCTGACTGGGAGAGCATGGATGAAGATATCCCAGAAGAAGCTGGTGCTGCAGCGTGTGCTAAGCCTAAGTGCAAGAAAACACCAAGCAAAAAACAACCCGATAGTTCCTCAGAGTCTAGTGACGGTGAGTCGGATAAATGCCCGATCTGTCTGCACTCCTTTCGCAAGCAGGAGATCGGCAATCCGGCAGTTTGCGATCACTGCTTCTGTATCGATTGTATCATTGAATGGAGCAAAAACGTCAATACCTGTCCTGTTGATCGGCAGAGCTTTGATGTTATAAATGTCAGAACTAAAGTTGGCGGCAAGGCAAGCGTTAAAAAATCACAAATGTACCGTTAATCGAATTCGGTTTGATAAAATAGTTAACCTTTTCATGTAAAATTTTCAGATCATAAGATATGTTCCAGTGGAGGTAAGACCTTCGACAGAAAACGTGGTGCAAGAGGATCCAACGTTCTGTGAAGTCTGCGAGCAGTGCGATCGTGAGGATAGAATGCTTTTGTGCGATGGCTGTGACTTGGGCTATCACCTTGAGTGTCTGGACCCACCACTGGAAGAAGTCCCAGTGGAAGAGAGTTGGTACTGCCCTGAGTGCTCGCGACACGACACGAACGAAGCTGAGGATGTAAGTGAATCTCTTCACGATCTGTTTAGTTGTACCCATTTATTTGTATTGTATGAGGCTCCAAGAGGAATCGTTCCCTTTTTGTTGTAATATGGGCCAATTGTAACGTTGAAATTGTCAATGTAATAATGAAATACAGAGAAAAAAAAACTATCGAAGCGACACGACACTGGTTTATTGTTTCAGATCGAAATCGACGCAGACGAGCTGCCAGACATAATGGAAGAAGCACGTCGTCTCGGTCATGCGTTCGGCCGCTCGCAGGTTTACCAAGCCGCCCTCGAAAACGGCGTCGCCGCCGCTGTTAACAGCAGACCCCGTCGCCGTACTGCAAACCTGCTGCCGCGCACGAGACAAGCGGAGCGTATCCGCGCGAACGTGCGGGCCGTGCGGATGACGCGTCGCGCCGCTCAGCTGTCCGGATTTATCGTGTCGTCCGATGATGACGCGAGAGATGCGTCGCCGAGGCCCGGGCCCTCGACCTCGGGCACAAGCAGTAGTGTATCACGTAGCCGTCGTCGCGTCGCGAAAACAACGACGCGCAAAAAAAGAAAGAGGAAGACCAAAAGGAAAAAGAAGACCAGCAGGCCCAAAAGGAGCCAGTTGAGGGAAGTGACAGTTTCTGAAATGAATTCGGATGGAGAAGTGGTGACGTGTATCAAGACTATACCGTCGACCAGTGGCGCTGCGCCCTCGAGGAGAAGGAAGAAGCGCAAGGTACTTAAGATTAGCGATTACGAAGATTAAAAGAGATGGAGAATTTGTTTTGATTTCGGGGTTTTGAAGGGGTTGGAAATTTTTGCAAAGTTTTTTTTTTTTTTTTTTTTTTTTCATTTTTGACTAGTGATTTCGCTAGCTCTCTACTTTTTACTTTTATAAACCTTGAAATGAAACCAGTAACATTCATACCAAACGTTTTTGATACGACATCTACTCCACAACTTGACCCAATGAATCATGAAACATATTTGTAAATAGAAATCCGAAAACTTTGTAATTTTACACTCACTGTTGCTATTTCCTTTACCAAATATCTACAGCCATTATTGACAGTGGTTTTAATAATCTAACTTTCGAATGTATACATTATTGTTTTACTTACAAACTAACTTTTACTACTAATCATTCGTTTGGAAACTCAATTAGATGTAGAAATGACAAAGCCTCTGAGTGCTATGGGTTGCAAGATAAATGGTTGTGAATTTTCGTTTGTCTGATTTTAGACAATTTCGACTCATTTTTATAAATCTTGTAATTCAATTTAAAATTGTAAATAAAGTTATACAATCTACTGATGTATTTGGCTTTTTTTCTTTTGAAATTAGTTGCAAAATTATCTTGTTTAATTAATGAAAGAAAGCTCATGATTCACTTAAATTTATGAAAAAATTATCAAAGTCATTTCAATTTCAAAGAAAATATGCTGCATTTTTCTCTTTAGTTCTGAAATATAACAATAATGATAAGAAATAGAAAAAAAAAATTATATTTCTTGTTTGAATGAACTTCTTTTAAATAACACTTTTTTTTATTATTTCCCTAATACTAACAAAAAAGTTCAATGTTCAATTAAACATGACAAATTCTTTTATTTTTCAGAAGCCCAAGAAACGTCGTGCTCGCACCGTAGCCTCAGTCGCCGCATCCATTAAAACCGCCAAGCGTCGTATAGCATCTCAACTTCGAACCCTAAACAAGAGCAAACCAAGTCTTGGTAGCGGAGGCGCCATCCAATATAGGCCCACCTTGAAGAACGACATTAACTCATTGACAAACTCAAACATTGCCCTTGTATCTTCTCGTCATCTAGCTGGCATCCCGCAGGTCAGCCTTTTCGGCAGTGGCCTTGGCATTGACTACAGTCCACCTGGGTGAGTCGTTTGTTTCAAATGAATTTTTTTTTTTTTTTTTTTTTTTCCTCCTTTGTTAATACTCCTCAGTTGTAGTCATTGCTCTCTTCTTTTTGGCTGCATCTATCTTCTAGAGAGGTTGCTGTCATTTGTTGGTCGCTACGATCTTTGTTAATCACGACAAACTTTGGTACAATGTGTACCCTTTTGAAACTCTCCCGACATACTCTGTAGTTGAACAAATTTGTACGTTTATCAATATCCTAAAAAATACGCATAGGATCAAAGTTTGACATGACACTTTTTAAATTTATAACTGAAAATTTTTCTCTTTTTTTTCTGTTTTACTCGTAAATGATTTGTACAACGTTACCAACTGCAAATAGGCACTGATCGCATTTTGATTTCTCAGGAAGAAAGCCAACAAATCTCTGCATCTCTATGTTCTGTTTCCTATATAATTTCTTCATTTCAATAATGTTAAGTTGTCGAATTTTCTAGTGAAAATTCATTACCAAAATACCTTTGCTTCCTCGCACATTTCATCTTACAAGTGTGTAAAAACAACAAAAAATGTAAGATTCTTGATGCACACAACTACCTGCAAAACGATATTGCGTACAAACGAATGAAATTAATTATCGCAGGATAGTAAAAGAGAATCTTGCAGAAGATTAACAAATATGTGTAATGTGGTTGGGTAAAAATTGAACGACCTTACGATATTGAGGAACAAAATACACACAGTACAAATAAACGAATGAATAATCCAAAGATAAGTCTTACAAAATGAACGGCTAGCATTAGTTAACGATAGGTTTATTGCGCACAATACACATTGTTCTGGAATGAGGTAATATTCGTTAAATATCGACTCGTCAAAAATGATATGTATGAAATGTATATGTTTAACATCGAGATCACCCGAAAAGAGGTCATTTACTTGAAAATGATCTCTTTGAGGGAGATGAGCCATCGATACCTTAAGAGATGCGACTCGCGTGCGCTGAGCATCACAAACAAACAAAAAAAAAAAAAAAAAAAAAAAAAAAAAAAAAAAAAAAAAAAAANGAACCCCAAGCTAAATGTCAACAACTCGCAGTGATAATCATTTCGCTCTTATAAAAAACACAAACAAAAAAAAAAAAAAAAAAAAAAAAAACATGTCTCTGTTTGTTCCCTGCAATCTAGGTCTGACGACGATCACGAAGACGAGGTAGAGCTTGGCGACGGCCCGAGTTTGTTATCCCGCACCAGCCGGCTGTCCCTCATGACGGCCGCGAGACGACGGCTGGCGCGCAAAGGCGCCCTCATGGCCCCTGCACCCGCCCACTCGGTAAGCATCGTCGACAGCATCCTCAGCAGCCAGGAGATTTGGCACTCGAAGAAGTCCAAGGTCACTCTTAAATCCGACGGCTCCCTGCACATTGACAAACCCAAACGAACCGACGACAACAACAACAAAAACGCCAACAAAAGTCCCCTCGGGTCGAAACACGACAACGACAGGTCCCCCCTACGTAGTGCCAATAGACCCCTAGATCTGAACAACGTCGATCCCAACAGTATGAGGCAACAGGCCCCGATGTACAATAGTTCGCGCGGCGGCGGGGGTAGTGGTGGCGGAGCCAACCGAGGGGCCGGCAATCAGAGTAGCGGCAACTACAACTCCTCTCGTCACAGCTACGGTGGTAGCGGTAACAACTACAGTGGCGGAGGAGGAGGTGGTGGTGGTGACCGTCACAGTTACGGCGGTTCGAGCAACGTTCCCCAGGATTACTCGACCGGCGGGCCGAACTACAGCTACGACCATCGAAACATGCCCCAGCAATTGCCACAACAGCAGCAGCAGCAGCAACAACAACAACAACAACAACAACAACAGTCGCCCTACCGTTCGCGCAATCCTCCGCCGAATTTTCGCAACAACCGCTTCCCACCTGGCCCACCGCCGCCACATAACCAGTTTATGAGCCAGCCGCCCGGTCCGGTGGGCACCCACGAGTTCCGACCACCCGGTGCTCACTTCCAAGACCAATTCCAGCGTCCAGGGCCCGGCAGGATGTCCGGCAATTTTGCTGGCCTCCTGCCCCCGCCTGCGCCACCTTTGGCTCTCAGAATGACCGCGCCCTTCGCCCAAAATAGCGAGCCCAGGCGCATGGACAACGACTCCAGTGGCGCCATCAACTGGAGCAGCAACAGAGACACACGCACCGCCAGCAGCGAGGAGGAGAGCGGGTTTCCAGGTCGCGAGGCTGCCAAGCAAAATGCACGAAACGAGGATGAGAGCCTGGCACCGCCACCCGAGCCTCCTAGTGGTATGATGGACTACGAGGACAGCGAGAGGGGTGGGGACAGTGATCGCGAGGACCTCGTCATCGACGACAATCCCAAAGAGGAGACCCCTCGAGCGAAACCCACCGCACCTCCTGGTGGTAGATCGGGCCCACAGGCTGAACAGTACGATCCGTTCGCCGATGCCGATGACGACAGCGATAGCGACGGCGACGACACCCACCACTCGCACAACAAGTTCAAAGCCCAGCGGCAGGAGCAAGACGCGGGTGGCTCCCAGCTTCAGCCCCTGAAGCCGCCGCCCGGACTGTCTTGCTTCCCGGGACTGAAGGCGGACGACAACGAGTCGATTATGGGCGACAACATGTCCATCATGGGAGACAACATGTCGGTCATGGGAGACAACATGTCACAGATGGGGGACAACATGTCCCAAATGGGCGACGATGATTTCCCGAGCTCGAGGGACATCGAGAAGAGCAGCGGCCCGGCCGAGAGCGGCAAGGGCAAATCGTCGTCCCAGAGGCCCCTCGAGCCTCCGCCCTCGATTTTCGGCTTCCCCGGGTTCAACATGGAATCCGACATGATGTCCGAGGACGGCCGGAGGGACGAAGACGACGAGGACGACGAGGAGGACGAGGAGAAAGAGCGCCGGGGAAAAGAAAGGGACAAAAAGAAAGAGAAGAATAAACAGATGAAGGAAGAGGAGAACAAGGCCAAGAGCAAGGTAGTTGTGCCGAGGATAAGATTGACGGCCTACGACGATGACGACGATGAAGACGACGACGACGACGATTGTCCCAACTTCTCGATTTACTCCTCGGAAACGATAGACGTGGCCAGGCACACCGAGCAAGAAATGTCCTCGCAAATGCAGCCCCCGGACACGGTTGGCAAGCCAAAACCGCCGTCGTCCTCTTCCTCGAGGGTCGTCCAGCCACTGGAGCCTCCACCCATGCCCCCGATGGACGATTTGGAGAGCACTCCAGGCTCGCCGCCGCCCTTGGCTCCCCCACCTTTGCCACTGGACATGTTCGAGGACGACGCGCGAAGCAAAGCCGGCAGCCCGGAGCCGCTCCAACCGCCACCCATGCCCCTCATAGACGACCTCGAGAGCGCGGCTGGCTCACCGCCGCCCCTCGAGCCACCGCCCATGCCCCTCATTGACGACCTCGAGAGCGCCGCTGGTTCTCCACCCCCGCTCCAACCACCGCCCATGCCACCCATGGACGACCTCGAGAGCGCGGCTGGCTCGCCACCGCCCCTCGAGCCGCCACCCATGCCACCGGTGGACGATCTCGAAAGCACGGCCGGCTCCCCGCCGCCCCTCGAGCCGCCACCCATGCCCCCGAGACTCGACACTCCCGGCTTGGTCGAGACACCCCAATTGACTCGTCCACCGCCCATCATTCACTCGGTATCTATGCCACCACCCTCCATGCCACCACCCTCCATGCAGATGCCACCGCCCTCCATGCAGATGATGCACCAGCCGATGATGCACCAACAACACCAGCAAATGATGATGCCACTAGTCCCCACGATCATGCAGCCCATGATGCAGCAGCAGCAGCCCCCACACCCGATGCAACCGCCGACCCTCATGCAGCCCCCACCCCCGCGGGAGCCTCCGCCCCCACTGGTGGTCCAGCCGGATATTTCGAAGCCCCTGGAGCCGCCGCCGTTGCCGCCGATCGATGAGCTGCAGCTCGAGGCCGAGGAGAGCTCGGAGGTGCCGCTCGAGCCGCCCCCCCTGCCACCGAGCATACTGGGCGACGACGAGGACAGAGCCCTGCCATCGTCCAGCGACGAGGACGAGGACGACGACTCGGAGGACACGGAAGGTGAGCACGCCGAGGGCGAGGACGAGGCCGAGGAGGAAGAGACCCCGGTCATCGGGCCGAAGAACAAGGGCACCAGGAAACGCTCGCGGTCGACGTCGCTGAAGGAAACAGCCGAGGCCAAGAAGAAAACGGGCGACGAGCCGCAGTCGAAGGAGGCAGAGCAACAACAGCAGGAAGAGGAGGCAGCGGTGGGCGAGGTGCAGCCTGGCGATCTTACCGAGGCCGAGTCGTCGCAGTATCTCGACGCGGTGCAAAAGGAACGCCAGAGCTTGAACAAGACCGCGGGTAAGATACAGTTGGACAGTAGGGGCAAGATCACCTTTAAGATCGGGAACCTCAGTAGGCTGAACAAGGTCAGTTTGTACGACGACATGGACGAGGGGGAGATATCGCGCATGACCCTGGATTTGGAGAAAGAGCGCGAGGAGAAGGAAAAGGAGCGGGAGAAGGAGGAGCGGGAGAACAAGGAGAAGAGCCGGGACAAGGAAAAGGAACGGGACAGGGATAAGGACAAGGAAAAAGATAGAGACAGGGAAAAGGAGAAGGATAAGCACCGGGACAAGGACAAGGACAAGGAGAAGGATAAGCGAAAGGAGAGCTCGAGCAAGTCGAGCAAGTACAGCGAGAAGGACAAGAAGAGCAGCAAGTACGAGGAGAAAAAGTCGAGCAAGTCGAGCAAGAGTTCAAAGTACGAGGAGAAGAAGGAGTCGAAGGGTAGCAAGCACAAAAGCTCGCGCCACCACGACAAGCCGCGTTCGGGCTGGGACATCAAGCCGGCGGGCATGGCCAGTTCCGAAGACTCGGACATCGAGACGATCGAGGTGAGGAAGGAGAGTCCCATCAACCTGCTCGAGAGCAGTCCCGAGCACGAGGGTAGGAAGGACGGGGGCGAGGCTAAGGAGGCCAAGGCCGCAAAGCAGATCAACATCGACCTCGACGAGATCCAACAGACCCTCGGCCAGAAGCTCAACGAGATCGATCCCGACGAGATGGACGTGCCCACGGCCTCGGAGATTGCCGAGAAGCACATCGAGGAGACCGACTTCGACATACCACCCGGCACGGCCAGCGACGCCGAGGAGGAGGAGAACGAACTCGCCAGTCGCTCCGAGAAGGTCGATATCACCGTGGCCACGGCTATGCCGGCCTTGAACCTCGTCGAGAGCGTAAACAGTCTGTTCGAGGAAATAGAAAAGTCGTGCGAGGCCGAGCTCATCAAGGACATTATCGGCCCCCTCGAGGCCTCGGAGTCGGACGAGCACACTGCGCTCGAGAAGGAAAGCCTGCTCCCCGAGAGGGAGGACGAAGGCACGGACAGAGATGACGACAGGGAAGACGAAGACGACGAGGATGTTGTTGCCGCTGCGTTGGAGGAGCGAGCGAGCAGGAAACAACTGGATGAAGTCGAGCACGAGAAACACGCGGACGACACGAGTGTCAAGTCGATGGACATGTCGGACGCCGAGTCCCAGGACAAGAATTACTTTGTTGATATGGAGAAGGACGAGGTACCGGGTAAACTCGGCGACGATTCTTTGCTCGACACGTCGAAAGAAACCGTCGACGAGGTGCGCGGCGGAGAACAAGAGGACGACGAGAAGGAGGAGGAGGAAGGGGCAGCGATGGCAGCAGAAATGAAGGAGCTGGAAGAGGCGGCAGACGAGTCGGAGCCCGAAAAAGAGCCGGAGAAACCAGTCGAGGTCCGAGAGGAGGAGGAGGATGAGGAGGAGGAGGACCACGTGCAGCTGACGGTCGAAGCGGCCGACAAGTCCGAGATCATCGACCTGGACAGCGTGGACTTTGCGGAGAAGGCGGCTGCCAACTTCCTGAGCAGCCTCGACCAGGAGGGCTTCCAGCTCGAAGCGTCGCCAAAGGAGTCCCACGCGTCACCCACACCACCAAGGCCCAAGCGCCCCAAGCGGCCCAACACGGCAGACTGGGAGTCGGACGTCGAATTCGTCCCGATGAGAAAACGCGGGCGCAGCAAGTCGGCGGCTCGCTCGACCTCGGGACTGCTCGACAGCGGTCTGGAACCCATCACCCCGGCCAGGGACAGGATTAGCGACGGCCTCGACGGTATAAGGACCCCGGCTGCTTACGCCGGTCTGGGCACCGAGGCCATCTCCGAGACGGACGAGGCCATGAACTTCGAGGACGAGCTGGCTCTGTTGAACATGCGCCACCGGGACAAGGACGTCGAAGAGGGCGAGATACCCGACGACCGCGACAGGCTATCCAGAAGACAACAACACGAGATCCAGCTCCAACAGCAAGCCCTCACCGCCATTAAGGCCAAGGAGCTTCTGTTGCTTCAGCAACAGCAGCAGGAGGAAGAGACGAAACGCAAGCGCAAAAAGGACAAGCGCGACAAGAGCCTCGCGAGCAGCAAGGAAGTCGAGCGCAACAAGGAGAACATCCTGGACAACAACCTGGTGACCGTGTGGAAGAAACAACAGAGGGCGTCCTCGCGGGAGCGCCAGTACCGCGAGAAGCGCTCCAAGTCCAAGGACCCGTCCAAGTCGAAGAAGAAGAAGGACTCGGCGGCCAAGAAGAAGGAGAAGCGCAAGGAGCTGCCGCGCTACGACGTCCGCAAACTCGTCACCGAAAAGCCCCGCCCGCGCAAGGACGAGTACGGCCGGGACATCCGCGACAGCTCGGCCAGTCGCTCGCTCAGTTTGTCCCGCGAGCGCTCGCTGTCCTACACTCGCAGACAGAGCCGCTCCTACAGCCCACCGCCGACCACCCGAACCAGGGTGACCCGGGTCCAGGTATCGCGCAGCAGGTCGAGGTCTTGGTCCCCGCGACGGAGGTCGCGAAGCTACTCGCCACCACCGACGACGCGCAGACGTTCGGTATCACCGCGCGCTCAGAGACGCGCCAAGCAGAGGAAGCGCTCAACGTCGCGCGGCCGCGGCAGGAGCAGGAGCCGCAGCAGATCGCCCCGTGGCAGGCGGGTCAGCGTCAGCCCGAGAGCCCAGCGGAAGAGCCGCAGGTCCGCGTCGAAGAAACGCCCGGCGAGGTCGCGCTCCAGGTCCCGCTCGAGCTCGCACTCGCGCTCCCGCAGGAAGGAGAAGAAGAAGCAGCAGCACGCGGAGCGTTCGCGATCCCGGGCCCGGGCGCGTAGCAAGCGCTCCCGCTCCAAGAGCCAAAAGAAACGCGAGAAGAAGCACTCCAAGCGCTCAAAGGGCGCCTCGCGGTCCAGATCGCGCTCCAGGAGTCGCTCGCTCGAGGCGCGCCGCGAACACTGGGAACACCACCACCATCATCAACAGCTAGTCGCGGCTGACAAAGCCCTGGCTGCCGAGAGAGCCTACGCCAGAGAAGCCGCGGCGGCCGCTGCAGCTGGACCGACCTGGGTTGGTGGTGCCGGTGTCGGCGGGAGTGTTGGACACTGGCCCCAGACGTGGTCACGCTCGCGCTCCAAGACGCCACCCTCGTTGCTGAGACCCGAGGCTCTGGTCGGGCACCAGTGGGCCTCGCCCAATACCCAGCTGAGTTTGTTGAACAGCGTCAACGTGCCTCCAAAGAACCTCAAGGTGATACTGACGAACAAGGAGGCAATCAAGAAAAAGAAGAAGCAAGAGAAGCGAGAAAAGGCGGCGCGCAAGGCCAAGGAGGCCGAGAAGAAGCGCAAGGGCAAGAAGGGCAGAAGTCCGCCACCCTCAAAGGAGGTCTTTGCCAGCGGTGACAATATACTCGTGAGCGTGTGCTTCAACAAGGAGAACGAGGCCCAGGCGCCGAGTACTGGATTACCGGAACTACCCGAGACGATACCCCTGTTACCACCGGTCAAGCGTAGACGGCGCGAGCCCTTGCAGCTGGATCCGTCGCAGCAGGTGCAGTTGCCATCGGCGAAGAAGTCGAGGAAGGACAGGACCAAGGACAAAGCCAAAACCCCGCCACCGATCAAAGTCACGAAGAAGAAGGAGAAGAAAAAGTCCAAGGCGGCGGAAATTGCGGCCTCGAAGAAGCCCATGGCGGTCATCGATCTCGACCAGTCGCCCTTCCGCGAGCAGACGCCCTCGCCCCGCGACATTATCGTCCTCAGCGACGACGAAGACAAGCAGACTGCCGCGGTGGCTGCGGCGGCTGCTACTAATGCTGCCGCTACTGCTGCTGCTGCTGCCGCTTCCGCGGCGGCGGTAGCTGCAGCTGATGCCGAGGAGCAACAGGAAATGGGCACACCCGAGGGAGAAGCTCCAGAGTCGTTGACGCCAGCCAGGCCGGATCCGACGTTCCAGCAGGGCCCGAAGACGCCGCCGGAGCCGCAGGTCAAGTTTTCATTAACCAACAAGTCGAGCAATCTCAGGCCCGCGATAATAAATCCCCTAATGGAGGAGGACGACGAGGAGGCCGAGGAAGAAACGGAGGAGCAGGCGCTCAGAATGGCCGAGGAGCGCGAGCAAGAGATCGCCGAGATGGAGGAGTTGATGGACGAGAGGGTAGAGGAGGAGCTTGGGCTACGTGCCCAAGAGGAGCTCGAGGCTGCGAGGATCAAGGTGGGCCCGAACACGCCGCCCGAGCCGCCGAGTTCGCCACCGGATTCGCCGGATGCCTACGATCCCTTCGACCCGACCAAGTCGAGGTCTCCCACTCCGGAACCCAACAGTCAAGAGGACAACAACGCGGACGAGAGCCTGATGATGCCGACGGGCGCCGAGTCGCCACCCGAGCCCAACGACTCCGAGTCTCAGGCCAACGTGTCGGCCGAGTTGCAGGCCGAGCCCGAGCAGCCGCCGCCCAAACCGGCCTCCGACAAGCCCAAGATCATCTCCATGGTCACGATAAAAAGGCCCTCGCCGAGGTCCGGTACCCCACCGCTGGCTGATTTGGCCGAGGCCAATGGCAGCACGTCGCCCACGGTGCCGCCTCCGAGCGCCATACAAACCACCACTCAGTCCCAGACGCTACAAACGCAGTCCCAGACGGTCACGCAGGTCAATGCCTTCCCCGCCATCAATCCCGTCCTGGCCACCGTTGCGGCTGCCGTGCAGAGGAGCAACCTCTTCAGCGCCGCCTCGCAGCTCGTCGGGCCCAGGACCATTTTGCAAGTGAGTATTGCTTTTCAAGTTTCACTGTCTTATACAAGCTGATGATTGATCGATCAAAAATGCACGCTATTTTTGTATGTTTGGAAAAAAAAAAAAAAAAAAAAAAAAAAAAGTATAAAACTACATCCAAAAGCGACGAGAACATNCGAGGCTCTCCGATTAAAAAAAAAAAAAAAAAAAAAAAAAAAAAAATAAATTTCATCAAAAAAAAAAAAAAAAAAAAAACAGCAGCAACCTAGGCCAACACTGCCCAACATCTTTGGGAACTCGTTAGGAGCGACGGCGAAGCCAGCCGCCCTTACCCGCATAGCCAAGCTGTCCAAGCTGAACATCTCGTTGCTGGGCCAAAACGGCAGCGACGCCAACATTGACGTGAGCAACGACAACAACGTCGACAACTCGTCACCGTATTCGCCCACCTCGAGCTTGAGCGACGGTCTGTTCGACCCCCCGAGTCCGGCTTTTAACAGTTCGCCCAACCTAGCGTTATCGAACAAGATACGCAAGACCCAGGAGAAGAAGGATCCGTTCGATTCGCTCTTCGATGCTTCGCCCATCGTTCACAAGTCTATGAAGACCAGGAGCAGTACGGTCAAGAAGCCCACTGAAAAGAAGAAAAAGGGTAATGTTTTTTTTTTTTTTTTTTTCTTTTTTTTACAGCTTTGAAGGGGTCTGGAGTCGTCTGGGATTTTTCAATTTATTATCAAAGCTATTTAACTGTACGATGAAATTGCAAATGAAAACGTTTCGTTGCAGGCACGCACTCGAAAATCGGTGTCAGGATGGACGAGAATCAACTACAAATATTGGACGATCTTCCAAGCTCCGCTGTCGAAATGCAAGTCAAAGACAAGGTGAATTATCCCCTTATTCATTATTGTACTGTAAAAAAATGTTTTACGAAATTTATGCAAATTTTTTGTGTTCCTTATAGTTCTTGAAGAAGCTCAACCGTCAAGAGAGAGTTGTCGAGGAGGTTAAACTGGTGCTGAAGCCACACTACACAAAGAAACACGTCACGAAGGAGGAATACAAGGACATCATGAGGAAGGCCGTTCCAAAGGTAATATATTTTTTCTGGTGTAGTATCCCGTCAATCATAAGTTTGTTCGCTGTTTTTTTTTTTTTTTTTTTAAGAAAAATTTACTAATCGCTGCGTAACGTAGTCTGAAAATATTATTCGGGATTCTGTTGATTATTGATCGAGTCGCGTAATTGTACTTTCAGATATGTCATAACAAGTCTGGTGAGATAAACCCGAAGAAAATTGCCACCCTCATTGAAGCCTATGTCAAGAGAGTTCGCTCCAAGAGAAAAACAGGTGGAAATCCTCTGCTGTCGTTCAAGAAACCTGTGTAAGTTTTCACAAATTTTATCTTTTACGCGAAGTACAACGTTTAATTGAATATGTATACCCCGGATGTTTTTCATGAGCACGTGTATTTTCTGTTGTGTAGGAAAAACTTGTGGAGTTGATCACTCAGAGAGTAAGCCCAGCGTATCGTTGAGTTAGACTCTACTGCCGCATGTCTATAGATTAATTATTAGATGTTGATCGATAAAGCCACGAGAGATCTTGCCCGTGATGTCGAGTGCGTACGTGCGTGGTAAGTGCATTTTGTTCGTTCTTTTTATGATGGTACGAACGAAAATGATTGAAAAGCAAGAATTAGTTGAAGGAATCTGTGCGATATCAAAATAATGAAACATCGAGTGAACAATGTGTATTGTATGTATATACTTGAAAAGAAAAAAAAAAAAAAAAAACATATTTGAATATAAGCGCAATATTTTTATTTAATCTCAAGTGTTAGATTACTTGTGACTATTTAAAGAAAATTAAGTAATTCACAATTCATTTAAATTGAAAACGGTGAAATTGTTTATTTCATGATTAATTTTTTTTTTTTTTTTTTTTTTTGTTAGAAACATTTTGTTAGATGTAGGCGAGATTATGTAATATAAATCATTAAGTTTAAGGAGAAAGATGATGAATACAAAATTGATTACTATACATGGAAATAATGTATGAACTGTTTTATAAAAGCAATCTTTTTTTTTATTCGAATGTTTTAAAGTTTGATTGCAACGTAAATATATTATAGTATGAATTTTTTTGTAGTAAACGTAACTTAATTGGAATATACAAAAAAAAGAAAAAAAAAAAATTTGAAAAAACCTGGCAAAATATTTGCATTCTAGTATACATATATGTGCGTATAAAAAATTTAGAAATTTTTATTAATAGTACATGATAGTTTGGTCGTGATTTTTCAAGCCGCAAGAAAAACCTGTTGTGTAATTAGATGAGACGATCTAACATCGCTAAGTTGATGGTGAAGTGATCACTATTTTTTTCTGTTTTTATACTGTGAATGCGACAAAACTATTGATAAACAACGTTTATCTGTGTATAAGAAAAACCTTTGAATAAATTAATTCATAAACATAATTGGTACTGTGCTTGTGTAATTTGTTCCTCAAAAGTGCAAAGTGTAATGTTTAAAATGCTAATTTCCTTTCGTTCTTAACTTGCGTTAGTTTTTTTGTTTTTTAACATTCCATTGAACCCGTAGATTTTATACTAATTAAAAAACTTACGATACGACTTTTTTACTTAGTAAATTATTTTTATTATTTGCATTAAAGTCTTTACATTTTTCTTACAATTTCTAATTTTTATTCATCACAGTTGTCTTACAATCTATATGTGTATACAACAAAACTCATCAGTAGCATTTATAAAAGAAAATTGATGGTTTTTAATCTCAAGAATTAATTTCTCATTTGACATCGGCAAAACCAATACGATCATTTCCCATGTCAAATTCGGTGTAATAACGCCCAATGAAAACATCACCCAGAATCCACAGCGGACCATTTGGTGGAGGAATGTCAATACCCATGAACCCACTCAGGCAGATGGTCTTGCCAAATTGAGTGACCTGAAAGTGAAAAACAATTTTTTTTATCCACACAATGATCTCATTTTTACAATAGATGTTCATTACAAGGCCAACAAAAAGTTTGATCAGTTAAGTACCTTGAGTACGTATTCCTCGCCCTTCAAAGAAAATGACTTTCCACCAACTACAAAATCAATGACAGGCAACTTGGGAATAGCATCGCAGCTGACCTGCAATTCGGTAATAGTTTATATAGGTAAAATGGAAAAAAATTTGGAAAAGCAGAAACAAAATTTTTTTTGCATACAATAGACTCTCCACCAACAATTGGAGTGGCACCAATCGCGCTATTGATCCGTTTGACTTCGTCTACGGGTCCAGCGATGAGAGAAGTGCCAGTATCAGCAATAGCTTCACAACCATTCTGACAGAATGTCTTGTCATTAACTTGAATCCTAAACAAATTAAAATTCCATTAGCATCGTGTAAAGTACCCACCTTGTTTTGAGTTGTAGAAAAAAAAAAAAAAAAAAATGCTCACTTGTCCATCTTGAACTGCCAGTAAGCTTTGCGTGAGACAGGAACGTAAGTGAAATCACCTTTATAATAATTAGGATCAGATCCTCCCAGAATCATCTCTCCACCAATCGGAGCATCTGGATTTCTATTTACAAATTTAATTTCTTACATTCTCTTTACACTGCTGGTGACTTTAATCTTAAATGTGGTGAGATTATACCTGTTCAAGTAGAAACTGAACACAGGCTGGGGCACTAGGTTCTGCTGAACCATTTTGTAAAACACAGGTGTGACACCGTCAACGGCAATTGCGTTGTAAGCCATACCCATGATACCATCAAATTTGGCTGCGACGAAAGCTAATCCAGGCTCGCTCATGGCCTCAGCAAAAGTGACATCTTTCACGTTGGTTCCACCAATCTAGAATTTATGCATGAAAAATTTGATTCGCAAAATAATTCAATGTATTTCTCTTACAAAAGCATACCTGAACGGAATCAGTGGACAAAAATCCAGAGAGACTTCCTGAGCCATAACGAATGTCAAACTTGGTCCCGTTAACTTTGTAACTGCTTGATTTTGTACAGTCATACTTGTGGTGTAATACTGTAAAAAAAAAGTTGATTCTTATTGATATCATTATTATTACAAGCGTATTAAACAAAATTACTGACGGCAAGCAATGTTGGTATAGTGGCACTTTTTTGATGGGACCCACAGATTTGAAGATCCAGTGTCGAAGATAACGGTAAAGTTCTGCGGAGGTGTTCCTATACTGATTTGTCCATAGTACTGGGCATCCAAGTAATTGGACAGTGGCTCCGGTACCGGGCCCAAGCCATAACGCAGTTTTACCTGATGGAGCTCGGTTCCTACACTTGATAAATATCTCCTTGGACTTTCATATTTTTTCACAGGAACTCTGTAAAATAATTTCGCCGTTAAAGCATTCAATTGATATTATTAATGAGCAGTAAACAATTGATACAGCGAGACTTGTGGCATATTAATTTTAAAATGAAAAAAAAATATGTTGATAAATATATATGCCCAACTAAAGATATGCATGTTATCAAGCAGTGAGTCATGTTTCATAGTACTTGGGTATCAAGAGATCAAAGGTTTTGTAAATCGTCATTCATTTTCAAGAACCTATATTATCCAGACAAAGGAATTATTCATTTGTGGTGCATTTAAACATGATACTGAAAATAGAATGAGAAAAAGGTGATACAACCAAGAACAAAAGAAGCTAAAAAAATATAATGATGTATAAAGTAAACAGATTATTTCGTGACAACTTTTGTGCCGAGGTCATTTTGAAAAACACAGCCGGCTGTCTAAAGAGTATATGTATGTAACATGTTTTTTTTTTTTTTTTTATGTTGAAGAAAAAAAATTTTCTGTTAGCACAATCGGCTTATTTTATATGCCCGGTATTTTGTTAATAAATGCATCGAGACGAGAAATCGTACCCTAATTTTGGTAGTTAATTTAAACAAATTAGTCTCCATAATAAATATTGGGTGAATCACTCTATGCCTTAATCTCATGATATTCTATACATAAACATTTTTTAAATTGTTAACAGATTAACACAATTAAAGACCCGTGTCTTTTTCAGCATTTATTTTGCATCGTTGGTTTATTCAATCAGCATTAAATTTCCTAATTCAATTATATATTTGAAAGCACAACTCTTATCGCTTGAACTTTATCGAATGACATATACAATGACAAAACAAAAACAATTCACCAAACGACAATATCTCCAGTGTTGCGTTACATTATGGTTAAAAGCCCATCGATTGATATTTCCTTCAATAGCGTACTTCAATTTATTTTTATTAGTGTTATACTTACGAGAGAAAATATATAAATTGCAGCCAAGAAGTGCAAACTTATTTTTATACCCCTATACGTTGTGTGACGCTGCGTATTTTGAAGGGAGAGAGAAGAACCGGAGAAAGAGCAATGGCGTTTTTAGAAGACAAAATGGGAAAAAAAAAATAGAAAAAAACTAAAGCTCACCTGATCAAGTTCGGGGTGGCGAGGACGAGGCATAGGCAGAGGTTCGTCAAGGCGACGAGTCGCAGCAGCATCCTGGGGAGCTACGAAAAAGCAATTTCAAAACAGAGAAAACGACCTGCTGTCGACTGTGCTCTCACTTTTGTTGTACTGCGGATTCTTCTTGTGTTTTCGAAGCTCTCTCTTCGCGGAGACGTTGCACATGTGTGCGTTTGTGCGCGTGTGACGTAAGAACAACTGGATCAATTCACAAGGCAACACTATCAGGTAATCTATGCCTTACACCCTTTTTTATTATAATAATTTTGTTGCTATCATTAAATAAAAAAAATATTTTGTTTTAATCTTCGTGAAACACATTTTGTTGTAAAATTTTAGGGAATTATGAAAGTTTAGGGTACGTTCTCATGTGCCGCCGACGACAGCTTGTCCAATCCACGCAAAGAGAGAGATTTTTTCAAAAAAATACTTTATTGAGTATAAAAAAAGCTTATTAAAAATCATACAAATCAAGTCGTTTGGTTGTTTAAAAAATGGTCTGAGCAATTCTGACGACGTTTGCGTCCATATCGAATTCGGTGTAGAATTCCATCATGAAAGCACCACCGAGTTCCCAATAATCTTGACGGGGATTTGTGCTTGGCACGAATGGGCTCAAGCACACCTCGACGTTCTCCAATATAAGCTTGAATTTAATGCGATTTCATTGAAACTTTTCTCTTTTTCATCGAAAAAAAAAAAAAAAAAAAAAAAAAAAAAAAACACTCACATGCTGCACATAATATTTCGACTGGATGATGAACTCGTTGCCGTCGAGCACGAAATGTACCGTTGGCAATTTAGCGTACTGTCGGCAACTCACCTTGTGAAAATAATAATTTCAGTTAAACAACCGTCCAAACCTTTATACAAATAACTGTTGTATATAACAATCATCACTATAATTATACAAGACATAATTACCGTGTACATGTTCAAAACAGGGATGAAGTTAGCGTTCATCTGCCAGTTCAATTTTTGAATAACGTCGGGGGGTCCCACTATGGTGTTCGAGCTCGAGTCAAATATTGCCTTGCATTTTTCGCAAAGCACCGTTTGGGTTTTATTTTTTTCGGCAAACACACTGTACTCAAACAAACAAAAAAATAGTTTACATACACGTAATTGCCATAATTGTCATATAAATGTACCTGTCCATCATGATCATCCAGAATTTCTTTTCGATGACCGTAAGATTCGTCATGGTATCGACTTTTATGTTTTGCCTTTGCGTACCCCCAAATATCACCCTACCGGCTTTATTGGTAGTTTCATCCCTGAAAAAAATAATTTGCTATGTTTTTTTCAACATTAATGCAACTTAATTTTATTAATTGAATATTAAGTAGACTAATGATTCAAACTGTCAATCTTTACGCTATTCGTTATAAAAACGTAACGGCAGTTCCACCTTCTTCATACGTTATATGAACAACAGTTTTTATAACGACTAAAATGAAGATTGACAGTTAATTATTGGACTGGTAATATTTAAACGTCAACTTGATTTTTTTATGCTTGGACAGTGAACAAACAGTTTAAAAAAAAATCTATGAAACGCGTATAATATTGTGGTAAAAAAATGTGGATCGGACAATACCGGTTCATGTAAAACGTAAAAACGTTCTCGGTAACGACTTTTTGTCGGACCAGGTTGTAAAAAAAGGGCATCACGCCGGACCAGCCCGATTGTTCCTGGTATGCCAAGCCAATGATACCGTCAGCCCTGTACTGCCAGAACGGCCGGAACGATATGTGCGTGGCTTCCAGGAACGTTTGGTTTTGAACTTTGACGTGTGCCAACTGTTTTGGACAATTTTTTCTGATTATGACAACAAAATATATATATACGTTGGCCAAAAAAAGGGGCTTACGCGAAAAACGTCGGTTGATAAGATTCCCGCCAAAGAGAGTTCCGAGTTGTTCATTTTGACGAACGTGCCGTTCGGTACGTACGACGACGAGGCCGAGCTGTCGTACTGATTGTGCAGTTCTATAAAGTTGGGTGTACAAAGTCATAAAAATTATTGCTATTTCGTATGTTTTATGTGTCAACTCACTGCAAACTATTTCCGTCCAGTCGCAGTGGGAGGACGGTAGCCAACTGTCGGCCCATGTCGTGTCGAAGATCACTTTGAATGGCTTCGATGGTGAACCAACACCTATGAGGCCGTAGTACTCGCCCTGAATGGAAAATAATAATCTCTCAAAAAAGTGACGGGGAATCGAAATTTTTTTTTTTTTAATCAAGAAAAAACTGATAAAGAAATTGGCGCAATGTTTTTTTACGTTTAAATATTTGTACAGCACTACGGAGTCATTTTTCCAAGGATCGTTCAGAGAAGCTTTGTATTTCTTCAACTTTCCTACGTGGGACAGCTTTGTTTTATATATATCCATTCTGCAACAAGAAGGTATCGGTTACAATTGATAAAGTCAATGCTCTAACTTGATTATTGCTGTATACACTGAGCAACCCAATTCTTTGAATCAAAGAAAATTTCTTTACCCTCATTCCGTTAAATATTTTCTTTTAATTGAAACAAATTTAGTCGATCCAAAAAAACATTTCGTACAACTAAATGAGAAATTCGTAATTAAAAAAAGAAAATTTTAATTTAATAAAATATTATTTTCAATTAACTTATATTTTTTTACTCATAAGAAAATATTTAACGGAATGAGGGTAAAGAAATTTTCTTTGATTCAAAGAATTGGGTTGCTCAGTGTATATGAGAAAATCTACCAAAAAATATTCCCGTTTTGATAAAAAAAAAATTCTTTTGAGGCGTACCTTCGAGATAGGGCTCATTTTACTCGTAATTTCATCTACTATCATAAAAAAGTTTTGAACTTGGGTTTCAGTGAGGGTGACTCCGTTTTTCCGCGATTCACGTGTTGAAATTATATCTACATAAATGATATCTATTTTGAAACCCACGTTCAAAACTTTTTTTTTCATAGTAGATGACATTACGAGTAAAACAAGTTATATCTCGAAGGTGCGCCTCAAAAGAATTTTTTTTATTAAAAATGGTATATTTTTTTGTGGATTTCCTCATATGTACGCGTTTTTATGTATGTGTGGGTGCGTGTAGGTGTATAACATATTGCTGCGTATTTCATCGCCGTGAAGACGAATCCATTGTGTGACCCGTAATATATTGTAGTGTTAAAATACGCGAAATTCCTTATTAATTTAAAAATTGTAAAAATTAGTTTCTTGATAATTTTTTTTTTAATACGAGGCTCTCCGATTAAAAAAAAAAAAAAAAAAAAAAAATGTGAACAATAAATTTACCGATAAAAAAAAAAAAAAATCAAACCCAACAAATTGATCAACGCGTTAAGAATTATGATTTTAATGCTGCACTTGATAATTTTATTCCGAAGTAAAAATGTTTTACTCACTCGATTCTTCCTTCCCCTGTGGTGAAAAAAATCAGAAATACCACAGCGAAATTAATGCACTTCATGATGCCAAATTGAAATTGATAGGATAAAATTAACTCTCAATTAAACAGAGAAAAATATTGATTCCGAAAGAAAGGCGTGTAACTTAATCAACTGCTCGGATTGCACTAATGGAAAAGTACTATATACCATAAAACAGCCATGCGAGATACCGGGGATTCCCACAACCCTAGAGTTGTCAATGCTTGTGTGCGCGTCGTCTTTTATATTTTTCTTTTCGTACTTATAGAACATACTTATCGCCAAAACTTGTGATGCGCATATTATTTTCTCGCTGCGGATTCGCTGGCTTCGAGCAGCAGTTTATATTACACCAGTCCTTAGAGAATATATACATGGAGGAAGCATTGTATGCTCCGACCGCGAGACGAGATGAGAGAGACAAAAGACAAATAGCAGTACAACCTTTCTCTCTCTTACACGCCTCTGATTGGTTGGCCCCCTTCCGTATATATAGGTATAGTCGTATCCACGAGTGGCGGTCGTGGGGGAACAGAGCAGATATATGTAACCTAAGCTCTGATGAAAAAGAACTTATACATTACCAGAGAATATAGAATATATCCTCTTTAAGTATAGAAGGCCAAAGCGGAATTCCGAGCAATACACACTAAAACAATAATCTTCCATTACAACACAATTAAAACAACAAAATTTGAATAAAAATTTCCAATTTTAATTAAAGCCCTCATACCTGGTTAAACAGTTCATGTATGGCTAATGACTCAGTTAGAATGTTTGTCATCGATAGCTGAGCGGTCAAGAATGCTCGATTAGCTTTTGCGCTCTGGGCTTCGAATCTGACCTATGCTTTTTTTTTTAGGTATACATTTTCATAATGCTTGTTTTATTACGTTTCGTTTGTTTATAATTTTTAT